TATGGAGTTTTGAACTTCAGCCTGGGGACATTCTTCATTTTTTTGAATTTCTTCAACATCATAACATCAAAAAATGACAAAAATTTAAAAAAAAAATAAATTTCTAAATTTGAATGCAGATGTTTAGAGAATCGCTCCAGAAACATTTAGAGGTATGCCACTTCAAAATCCGATTAGGAGAAGTTGAGTTATGGAGTTTTGAACTTCAGCCTGGGGACATTTCTTCATTTTTTTGAATTTCTTCAACATCATAACATCAAAAAATGACAAAAATTTAAAAAAAAAATAAATTTCTAAATTTGAATGCAGATGTTTAGAGAATTGCTCCAGAAACATTTAGAGGTATGCCACTTCAAAATCCGATTAGGAGAAGTTGAGTTATGGAGTTTTGAACTTCAGCCTGGGGACATTTCTTCATTTTTTTGAATTTCTTCAACATTATAACATCAAAAAATGACAAAAATTTAAAAAAAAAATAAATTTCTAAATTTGAATGCAGATGTTTAGAGAATTGCTCCAGAAACATTTAGAGGTATGCCACTTCAAAATCCGATTAGGAGAAGTTGAGTTATGGAGTTTTGAACTTCAGCCTGGGGACATTTCTTCATTTTTTTGAATTTCTTCAACATCATAACATCAAAAAATGACAAAAATTAAAAAAAAAAATAAATTTCTAAATTTGAATGCAGATGTTTAGAGAATTGCTCCAGAAACATTTAGAGGTATGCCACTTCAAAATCCGATCAAGAGAAGTTGAGTTATGGAGTTTTGAACTTCAGCCTGGGGACATTTCTTCATTTTTTTGAATTTCTTCAACATCATAACATCAAAAAATGACAAAAATTTTAAAAAAAAATAAATTTCTAAATTTGAATGCAGATGTTTAGAGAATTGCTCCAGAAACATTTAGAGGTATGCCACTTCAAAATCCGATCAAGAGAAGTTGAGTTATGGAGTTTTGAACTTCAGCCTGGGGACATTCTTCATTTTTTTGAATTTCTTCAACATCATAACATCAAAAAATGACAAAAATTTAAAAAAAAAATAAATTTCTAAATTTGAATGCAGATGTTTAGAGAATTGCTCCAGAAACATTTAGAGGTATGCCACTTCAAAATCCGATTAGGAGAAGTTGAGTTATGGAGTTTTGAACTTCAGCCTGGGGACATTTCTTCATTTTTTTGAATTTCTTCAACATCATAACATCAAAAAATGACAAAAATTTAAAAAAAAAATAAATTTCTAAATTTGAATGCAGATGTTTAGAGAATTGCTCCAGAAACATTTAGAGGTATGCCACTTCAAAATCCGATCAAGAGAAGTTGAGTTATGGAGTTTTGAACTTCAGCCTGGGGACATTCTTCATTTTTTTGAATTTCTTCAACATCATAACATCAAAAAATGACAAAAATTTAAAAAAAAAATAAATTTCTAAATTTGAATGCAGATGGTTAGAGAATCGCTCCAGAAACATTTAGAGGTATGCCACTTCAAAATCCGATTAGGAGAAGTTGAATTATGGAGTTTTGAACTTCAGCCTGGGGACATTTCTTCATTTTTTTGAATTTCTTCAACATCATAACATCAAAAAATGACAAAAATTTAAAAAAAAAATAAATTTCTAAATTTGAATGCAGATGTTTAGAGAATTGCTCCAGAAACATTTAGAGGTATGCCACTTCAAAATCCGATTAGGAGAAGTTGAGTTATGGAGTTTTGAACTTCAGCCTGGGGACATTTCTTCATTTTTTTGAATTTCTTCAACATTATAACATCAAAAAATGACAAAAATTTAAAAAAAAAATAAATTTCTAAATTTGAATGCAGATGTTTAGAGAATTGCTCCAGAAACATTTAGATGTATGCCACTTCAAAATCCGATTAGGAGAAGTTGAGTTATGGAGTTTTGAACTTCAGCCTGGGGACATTTCTTCATTTTTTTGAATTTCTTCAACATCATAACATCAAAAAATGACAAAAATTAAAAAAAAAAATAAATTTCTAAATTTGAATGCAGATGTTTAGAGAATTGCTCCAGAAACATTTAGAGGTATGCCACTTCAAAATCCGATCAAGAGAAGTTGAGTTATGGAGTTTTGAACTTCAGCCTGGGGACATTTCTTCATTTTTTTGAATTTCTTCAACATCATAACATCAAAAAATGACAAAAATTTAAAAAAAAAATAAATTTCTAAATTTGAATGCAGATGTTTAGAGAATTGCTCCAGAAACATTTAGAGGTATGCCACTTCAAAATCCGATCAAGAGAAGTTGAGTTATGGAGTTTTGAACTTCAGCCTGGGGACATTCTTCATTTTTTTGAATTTCTTCAACATCATAACATCAAAAAATGACAAAAATTTAAAAAAAAAATAAATTTCTAAATTTGAATGCAGATGTTTAGAGAATCGCTCCAGAAACATTTAGAGGTATGCCACTTCAAAATCCGATTAGGAGAAGTTGAGTTATGGAGTTTTGAACTTCAGCCTGGGGACATTTCTTCATTTTTTTGAATTTCTTCAACATCATAACATCAAAAAATGACAAAAATTTAAAAAAAAATAAATTTTTAAATTTGAATGCAGATGTTTAGAGAATTGCTCCAGAAACATTTAGAGGTATGCCACTTCAAAATCCGATTAGGAGAAGTTGAGTTATGGAGTTTTGAACTTCAGCCTGGGGACATTTCTTCATTTTTTTGAATTTCTTCAACATCATAACATCAAAAAATGACAAAAATTTAAAAAAAAAATAAATTTCTAAATTTGAATGCAGATGTTTAGAGAATTGCTCCAGAAACATTTAGAGGTATGCCACTTCAAAATCCGATTAGGAGAAGTTGAGTTATGGAGTTTTGAACTTCAGCCTGGGGACATTTCTTCATTTTTTTGAATTTCTTCAACATCATAACATCAAAAAATGACAAAAATTAAAAAAAAAAATAAATTTCTAAATTTGAATGCAGATGTTTAGAGAATTGCTCCAGAAACATTTAGAGGTATGCCACTTTAAAATCCGATCAAGAGAAGTTGAGTTATGGAGTTTTGAACTTCAGCCTGGGGACATTTCTTCATTTTTTTGAATTTCTTCAATATCATAACATCAAAAAATGACAAAAATTTAAAAAAAAAATAAATTTCTAAATTTGAATGCAGATGTTTAGAGAATTGCTCCAGAAACATTTAGAGGTATGCCACTTCAAAATCCGATTAGGAGAAGTTGAGTTATGGAGTTTTGAACTTCAGCCTGGGGACATTTCTTCATTTTTTTGAATTTCTTCAACATCATAACATCAAAAAATGACAAAAATTTAAAAAAAAAATAAATTTCTAAATTTGAATGCAGATGTTTAGAGAATTGCTCCAGAAACATTTAGAGGTATGCCACTTCAAAATCCGATTAGGAGAAGTTGAGTTATGGAGTTTTGAACTTCAGCCTGTGGACATTTCTTCATTTTTTTGAATTTCTTCAACATCATAACATCAAAAAATGACAAAAATTGAAAAAAAAAATAAATTTCTAAATTTGAATGCAGATGTTTAGAGAATTGCTCCAGAAACATTTAGAGGTATGCCACTTCAAAATCCGATTAAGAGAAGTTGAGTTATGGAGTTTTGAACTTCAGCCTTAATCAAAAATATATACATATATACTTTATATGGTCGGAAACGCTTCCCTCCGCCCGTTACATACTTTTCAACGAATCTAGTATACCCTTTTACTCCACGAGTAACGGGTATAAAAAAAGAAAGGGAACTAGAGACGCAAAGCAAATATAGTTACTAAATAAGCCCACGTGTGCGTGCGTGTCCTGCGAGTATCCTGCCAAAGTGTAGCAAGTGTGTGTGTGGGTGTGTGTTGTGTGCGTAGGACCGCATCCTGTTCATTTCCCCAAACGAGCTGGTAAAACAAAGCGCTGCATTCAGATACAAAGATACCAACACAGAATAGCCTGGCCCACCTGGGACCAAATGCCCTGCACGGGAAAGCAAATGCAAAACTGCAGCTGTCCCCAAAAAAGGGGGACACCTTAGTTTGGTTTCCTAATTAGCTGCACTGTTGGGAGCTGCACTGTCCACTGGGAGAGTCGAGTGCTTTCGATTATAATTTGTAATCACCAAAGAAAATACACTTTTCACCAGCCATGGTAATTCGATACTTGACCTTGAGTTGGCCAAAACAAGAGTCCACTTTGAGCGAAAGTACGCCAAGTCCAGTGCTACATAAATATGTTCGTATTTAAATTTAATAAGAGCATTCAGCTCAGGGGATGAATAGCTAGAACACACCTATTTATTAACGCAGAAGGAATCAAGCAAGTGTAAATCACTTTAATTAGCACATAAAGCGAGTGAAAGGATGTATCCTTTTAAGTAAGTGGATTTTCAGTGGAATGGCCCAACCAATCCTCCAGTTAGCGTTATCCTTGTTGATGGCTCTTAAAGCTGTCGTCCTCGCCGTCCCATCATTCAAGTTGGTGCGACCCAGCTGGCCAACTCTGACTTTCACTCTCTCTGGCGAACTCAGTGACATTTTTAATGCCATCGCCGTCGAATTGCTGGGTTTATTTTCTGCGTGGACTATATTTTAGGCCAGTACCGAAATAAACGGGTTATCATCTATTTCGGGCCTTGTGCGATGCCCTATGTGACGTAAATTGGTTTTCTGGGCCTTTGCGCTTTCACTTGGTATTTGGCGGACTGCAGGCACCACCATATTTATGGTCGGCGGTACAGTGCGTTTCGTGGCGATGAATCGACTGGCTGTATTGTTGATGGTGGCCTTTGGTGGCCGAGAGCCTTATGCACATGGAACGCATGTCCTGCTATGCGCCATAAAGTATGCTGATCAACTGATGCGTGGCGAATAAATCTCGGCCTGCTTCTGGTCCGCAACATGGCCAAAAGAGGAGGCATCATATCATATCATAACATATTTCATAGGGCGACAGCCCAACCATCCACAACCTTTCCCCCTTGATTGCCAGCCAGCTATTTTTTCCAACATTTCCACATGCATTTCGTTTCAGTTTACAAATTAAGTTTAAATACAACGTAAATTCAACCGCGATAAAAAAAAACACATTTCGCATTCACAATGCGGGGTGGGGGATATGTTTAAGCTCGTCCGCCGGGCTAACAACACGCTAATAAATACGGAGCGTGCGGCACCGCTGCATCCCCGCCCACCATCCTGGGTCAGGGCGCCCAGGTGGGTTCACGGGTCTCGGGTCACGGGTCACGGCTCACAGGCTCCTGGTGCAGTTAACAAATTGAGTTTTAATTAAGGCGACACGCTCTGGGTATTATGGTTCCTATTAGTGCAGTTAGCCAGACGGATGGGAGCGCGTATTCACAGGCGATAATGGGGCGGGTGGAGCGGTACGTAGGCGTTGCGGAGGCGGAGGCGGTGGCGGTGGCGGTGGACGATGGACGGTGGACGGTGGAGCCTCTAGTAGCCATAGTGAATACCATGGCCGGAGACCGATGTGTGCACGAGAGCGGGTGCGGCGACGGCGGCCCTGGAAGTGGAGCGTTGGTGCGGCGATTATGAGGCGACCTCGTAATAATATGGTCCTGCGAGCCGGATACTCACTTCACCACGGGCCCGGCCAGATGCGTAGCGTAAGCAGGAGCGGCGTAGGCGGGGGCGGCGTAGGCGGGTGCGGCCAGTCCAATGCCGTGTCCAATGATGCCGGGTGCTGTGGGATGGCACACACAACAAGGTTAGGTTTATAATAAAAAACAAAAAAAAGCCAAGAGACAGGGCAAAGATAGACGGGGACAGATGGCCGAGCTGAAGGAGAGATGAGAGATGGTCACAGAGGAGGTCCAGATAGAGCTTCCCCAAATTAGCATCGTGTCCATTGTTTGGACAACACAAGCTGCCCGCCCCATGCGCCACTTAAAGGTTGTCAACGGCAACCACCTGACCTGGCCTATCCACCACCCACTAGGCCGGTGGCACAACATTATTGCCCAGGCCCTAAAGCACATCGTACAATAGATGGAATACCTGAGAGTTGGGCTACCGAATCTTGCTGCGCCGAACAATGGCGCTCTGTTCTACGAAATACTTGCAGACTTGCGAAATTAATTAAAATTCGACATGAATTAGTACTGTCCCTCCGAGTTATGCTACTCATTTAATTTCAGTGCACTGAGCAGACAAAGCAAATATGAAGAACAGGAAATATTCCAACCACTGACTAGTGGAATTAAATGCCTCTTTTCTCGCCGTGCACTGGAAGGCGTCAACATCAATCAAGTGACACCCCAGCGGAACTGGGTGACCGGGTGACTGGCTGACTTGCACCTGGAGTTGCCCAGAGCCGAGGGATGCAGCTTGGACACCACCTAGCTGGTGGCGCTTTAAAGCCTGCGAATGGATAGGCGGCGAATGATTGATTACATGCCGGGCTGACCGCCGAATTTCCACAACCGCCGGGCATTTGTATCTGTTTTCCAGCAAGACAAATCGATTGCGGCCGGGCCCAAAAGCGATTATCCCTTTTGTTGGCCGCCTTTTTGCGGACAGATGGCCGAGAGGTATCGATTGCACAGGGCTCCGTTGGCCAATCCCTTGAAGCAATGGCCATCTTTGAGGGCTTTAACCCCAGCTGGGCTCCTCGCTTTAAGTCGTTGCCGTGTGTCTTATCGCTGTTATCGCTGTGATGCTTTGCTGGCCACCTGGCCGCGCTTTTCACGGGCCAAACTTGAAACAATTTGACCTAAAGTTTTCCTTTAGCCTGCTGCATCGAAACTACCTGAAGCATCTGCGCTACGCAGACTAAGCCATATATCAGGAAATTCCTTCCTGGCAGCGCAATCCGCCGCCTGATGGAGCGAAACTTGCGGGCCAAAGTTTGTTTTTGCCAAGTGCACTTGGCCAGCGGTACGAAAACACAATAAAGTTCCTTTTCTGCTTTCGGACTGGAAAAACTGGTGGCGAAATTAGTTGCGAAATCGCTGAGGAATCAGATTTTGGGGCATTCAAAAGCGTGCAGGAGTGCGAAAAGTGGAGTTAGAGCTGGGAGATTGGGGTTAGCGTTAGTTAGACCGGGTTACTCGACATCCTGGATGTCCTGGATGTCCTGGATATCCTGGTCACCTACCGTACGATGGGGCAGCGGCGTACTTCACAACTGGAGCGGCGGCGACTGGGGCATGGGCCAGGTATCCGTGCGAGATGGCCGGAGCGGCGCTATAGGAGCCATAGCCTCCGTATCCGTAGCCGCCGTAGCCGCCGTAGCCTCCCAGTCCCAGGGAGTGTCCCAGTCCCAGCGAGTGCCCCAGTCCGGAGATCTGCACGGCCGGAGCGCTGGCCGCGTAGTGTCCGCCGTAGGCCACGCCCTGGATCTGGGCGGGAGCCGTGTGGCCGGCGTAGCCCAGGGAGTAGGCCGGCGCAGCGATGGCGTGGACCGGAGCAGCTTGGGCTTTGCATTTGCATTGCATTTTCATTTGCGGGTTAAAAGTGTTAACATTCAACTAGCAGTAATGGCCGGTTTGCATTCAGCTACGTGTATCTCTGAGTTCTCAATTGATTCTACAAACTTTGAGTGCAACATTTAGTTGGTGAACAATTTCGAAAAATGTTTCCAAAAGTCAATCTCCCTTGTGGGCAAATACAAGGGGTATGCGTAAACCTGAGCCATCACTGCGACTACGTGCAGAAGGAACACAAAGTGGTGGGTGTGAGTGGTGTGCTGGGTGGTGTACATTTGGCGTATCGGTGGACCTGGAGCATTTGGGGGATGGCTTGGAGCGGAACTCACCTGCGTAGCCGTGGGCGGCGATGGGCGCCAGGCCGGCGTCATTGCTGATGCTGGACCGCTGGACATGGGACTGCGAGTGGGCGGTCTGGACCTGGCTGGCGTAGTCCGACTGGGAGGACTGCCCGTAGTGGCCCTTCACCGTGTGCTCCTGGGTGCTGCCCACGGAGGCGTGGTCGACGCTGGGCGCGCTGATCGAGTAGGCGGCCGGACCGCCGGGCTTCGCCTGGACGCAGGCGATCAACGCCACCAGGAGCACGGAGAGGACAACCTGGAAATGCGTTATATTTGAAATATAATATGCGGAATTCTATAAATCAGTGTCGCTTGGCTTTGTCGCAGTTCGACCGTCTGCCGGAAATTGCAGGCGAGAAAACTTTTAATTAAGTTGATAAAGTTGAAATAGTTGGGTGCTTTGGTGGTATGCGAGTGTCGCCTTGAAAGGGTGCTGCCTTATCGAGAGACAAATCAGGCTAAATAAATCGTTAGCTGGTTGGCAAGAGAGCAGCTATTTTTGTGTATCGACAATAGGCGCAGAGTTGTTTTCAACTTGTGCATCTGAATGCAGCACTGATTTCCCCAATCGATTGCCTTAAAACAGCGCCGGAAAATGATGATAAAGGGCCACAAATTCGTATCTCAACCCTGTTGGTAAGTCGGCCAGATACAAAATCAGTTTGTGGTGCTTATATCTTGTTTCTGCACAAGCTATGTTTTGCCCAGCGGCCCATTGATGCATGGCCTATTTGGCTGCAGCATTCCTGGCCAGAACTGACCCAGATTAAGGCCATTTTAAGGCCATTTAAAGGCGTAAGCAGCTGCCACTCGACAGCCGCACAATTAGCATGCGTGTTGGTCTTGCTCTCGTGTTCATTGCCTTGGATATTGAATATCAATTGCGAGTCGGGCCGAGATTGAAATCCACCTTCAGTTGGCCATATGGGGTCGCCAGTCATCCTGCCAGCAAAGGAGCAACAAAGCACACTGAGAACAGGATGTGCCCCATCCTGACGGCTGTCGAGCGATGAGTAGAAAGGATAACAAGTGCAGGCAACCCGGATCCCGGTGCCACCGACTCCTTTGCCATGTCAATCGGTCTGCGACCACCTGGGGCCTGGTGGAGGTGGACGACAACTTTTCACGCACCTTGAATGCCATTGTTAAAGTGATTCACTTGAAAAAAATTCGACTCAGTTCGATTGGATTGCGATTGGTAACTGTCTCGGTTCGCCGTTCTTTGGGCCTATTTATACGCGGCTCGCTGCTGCCGTCGGTCTGCTCTCAAAATATGGTGCAAAACAACAGCAACAAAAAATAAAATAAATTGAGGAAAATCAGTGGAAAAACAAAAAAGCGGCGGCAGCCATGAGAACGGGTTTTCATCAGTTGGCAAAGCAGGCAGAGCGCAGGCGCGCCGCTCTACGCAATAATGCCTCCACCTCCTCCGCCCCCCAACCCGCCACGCCCCCTTTTTGGCGGCGGAGATCGCCTTTCGTGTTAATCGCATCGATTGTTTAATTGGAAATTTGTCCGCACTTGTCCGAATGCGGCAAAAGGAAATGCCAGCGGACAAGGTGAGCCCAGTGGGTTCACCCACTCCATTGCATTCCAGGCCATTTTCGGCCTCCGAACCAGAGGAGTTTTTGGGTCATCTCCAGGCCCCCTGTACCATATCATATAACATCATTTCATATCATACTATATCATATACATAATATCATATTAGTCGAAGGCCCCAGCAGCCAGTACTTGTTTTTAAAATATACATTAAGTTTAGTATTTTATACCAAATTTTATCTTGATAAAAATATCCTAAAATATCACATATATTATAATCTCATATCATATTTTTATATTATATTATCATATAATATCAAATCATATCACTAATAGCATATCATATCACCTAATATCATATAATATCATATCATATCACATAATATCACATAATATCATATCGTATCATATCATATCATTCTCACGTGGCTCTTGTCAAGTGCTTTATTAATGGAGCCCCGATTTTCCATTTTCCGCCACCACACCCGGTGCGTTACACATTTTTTGGGTTTTTTCAGCCTGCGGACATTTTGTGTTCAACTTTTTACAGACTTTCAATACCCCGCATTCGGTACCTTGAGTGGGCATAGTGGCCCGCACTTAGTACTTAAGTAAATATATAATATATATACAGATACGAACAGGGAAATTATGAGTGAATATAATTATGACAAAGTCGTTAGTCATGCACATTATAATAAAACAGCAACTGCATTAATTCTGTAGATTGGATTTATACAAATTCACCGAAAGCAAATTTAAAGTTGTAGTAGCTTGTAGTCTCAAGACACAATTACTTGATATATTGTTAAATGCACAATTTAAATTAATTTAGTGGCAACTGTCCATTACACAAGCGGTTGGCTTCATGGGCACTCATCATTCCCGCTATTCCTATACCACGATCATTATAAATAGATTAAGTGCCAGTTCCAAGAACAACTAGTGGGTATGTCAACGACCGAACAACACGCATCCACCGCCCAGTTAGCATTTGGTAGTTTTTGCAGTTCTCACGCAGCAGCAGCCGCCGCCGAATGGGCGCGGAAATTGGGCAGCCAGATCGGATTGGACTGGATCGGCAGTGGGTGCCCCGACTCCAAGAGTCGGAGATTGGAACTGGGGGCTCCGAGCTGTGAGCTGTGATCTGTGAGCTCTGGGCTTGAAGTGGGGCCTGAGGACCTGGCAGCTTTTCGAAAGGCACAAAAGCGGGCAGTGGGCCCGATTTTTGGACTGGGAGGCCTTTTTGCCAGTTTTTGATTTGTATTTTCTGATCTAAGCCATTTTGTTGCTGGCTAGCCGTTTTTTGTTGCCTCGCTCGCAATTTATGCGCACTTTGTGCGTTGTCGTGACGAGGGACAGCTATGGACACTGAGAGAATTTTGGTGCTATTTGGCCAGTATCATTACCTAAGCTATTAACTGGTATTATCAGTACAAATATAGTTTGAGTAGGCATGCAAAGTGTTTATTTTGGAATAAATATATGAAGAAATGCACCCAGTCTTGGCAATAAATGCAAAATGTCCTGGCAAAGTGATATTTGCATAATTTTCGTATTTTTACGGGAGCAATCGTGCGAATAGATTTTGACCATGTTTTATTATCATACGCATATCTTTAAGACTTCTTGGCAATACGAAAGAGGCAAGCAAATAATATTCATGGCATTGCGATATGCCCAACCTCGGTTTCTCTGGGTGTGGTGGACATGTAGAGCGGGCCAGGGAGTGTTATGTAATGGGCCGCAGCCACAGCTGGCTGTTCGCCTGGGAGCAAATACACACAGAGGTTTCGCAACCAAGGCGACGCTGCGCTGGGAAATTGCTAGCATTTTCCAACTGTCAACCGGGGAAACCTCCGCCAAGGCGAGCGAGTCCGTCGGGCTCCCGAAATCAGAATCAGAATCGGAATCAGAAACAGAATTGGGGGTAACGGCGCAGCCAACCTTCAGAACACTTTTTGGGGCAGGAGGCGGTGGTCAGTAAAAGCATTATCAAGCTGAAGACGGCGCCACTTGTTTTGGCTCTGCCAATTCTGGGGAAGCACACAGTAAGACCAGTAAGACAGCAAGGCGGAGAAGTCGTGAAGAAGTGCACCGAAAAAAATAAGCATATATAGCTCTCATTTATTCCGCATTACTTCGTCAAAAAGTCGAGGTGGCTCTGCAAAAACCGAGAATCGGGGTCACCAAAAACTGCAGCACATCTCATCTTTTCCACAACTTCGCAGTACACTTTATACTCCTACAGCATAAAGTAGAAGTAAGAACATGCAACTTAACTTCATTTAAAACCCACCAGCTCATGTGGCACGTAAAGTAAGAGGAATGCCAGTACTTGATATGGCACCTGCAATCAGGGTGGCAATGGAGACTCCCGGTTCACAACATAAATTAACCACATTCATGGGCAGACTTCATTGTGAGTGCCTCGTTTGGCTCAGTGTGAAAGTGAATTCCCGATGCAGCGGCATCATCGATTGTCATTGTTGATGAGCCAGGGGGTGGCCCCTTTCAGCCCTTTTGAGTCCTTGGGCCATTGTGTAATGGCGTGATGTTTCAATTACCGCCCATCACTCGTCCTCCGTTAAAACCCCGCGCGATAAATACACAATGCCAGCGCTGCGGGCGACGCAATCTGCGAGCTTTTTGTCTCCGGCATTAATTTGTATAATTGCAATGCCAATACAGGACAAGCAGTCGGGCACAGCCAAGTGCAGCGAGCCATAGCCATCTCAATGTCCTCTTCCCAGCGAGCCTCCACCACCCACTCCACCCACTCCACCCAGTCCACCCATTGTGGTGTCCAGTCGGGCGCAACATTTCACGTCTATGTGGGTCACAAAGGCGCACACAACGGGCCAAAACAAGGCGAGGGAAAAATTGGATCGGTTCCTGACGACATGGTGATATCCCTTATCCGACAAACAGGCATCCACAGGCTTTCACCACGCAATTTGCACCCACCCAATTATATTAATCACGGTTCATGCCTACAAAGCCCCTATTAAAATAAATAAATATTAATACATTCAAGTTGATTGGTTCTTTGCGACAACTGCAACTTTAGACGTGCGATAAACTTACGCACTGTGGTACTGTGTGCTTTTCGAATCTTGCATCCTTTTAGTTGACCCAGAGTACAGGGTATCACCGCATTGGACAGGGACTGACAGCCGTTGCAGTTGGCATCCCCTAACTGGAAACATTCGCCGAACTGCTCTTGAAACCGCCGTCGCCCATCGCTGTCATTGTTTCCATGTCCATTGTCCGTTGTCCGCTGTCCGCTGTCCGCTGTCCGTTGTCCGCTGTCCGTTGTCCGTTTGGTGATGTGGGGCTTAGTTTTTAGTGGTTTGAGCTGGCGACATTTGCCTAAATACTTGGCCGCACTCACTCGACCATTATCACACATGCCGTCCTCCATTGCCGCCTTTGTTGGCCTTTTGCGTGGAATTTCCAGAGGCGAAGATTAATGACCGACATGACCTGACAGCGCCGCGTCAGCGTGGCATCGATGTCAATGGCGATAGACGAGCAGGATGGCTGGGCATGATTGGGTTGACCACCTGCAAGACCGAGTACGGTGTACAGCCTAACTTGGCAGCCCAAATGGATACGGAAATTGAAAACGCTGGCCTTAACCGACCTAAAATGCTACAATCGCTTAACGCAGCTTAGTGAGGTGTCTCAAATAGCAGCCATTGCTAGTTTTGGTGCTAAATCGTAATGCTCGTAATGCCCGCCACCCAGCTGGTGCGTCCGAAAGCCCGCCAGATGGCGCACGCCACCCCAGCGAGGGCGTGGCCCCAGCGAACCGAAACTGGAGCAATGTCCTGATATTACGCGCTATTAACTGCCAACACTTGTGTGTACGTGGTACGCACACAGTTGCCCGGGCGAGAGCATTAAAATGTAACCTTCAATTACGAAATCAATAGGCAAAAAGGCGGTCGGCCACACCTCCATGTGGCCAGATCTTGTTGGCCAGATTCGAGACGCCTTTGTGCACTGGGCTCGTGCGCTTTTGTTGTCTTGCTGTCTTCATCTAGTATTTTCATATTTTCACAGAATTATTTTTTCATTCTTTTTTTCCCATTTCTGTTGGATTTCGTTTTTTTCTATTTTTGCCTCGATGCCGGAGCTGCGATATTGAAAACGCTTGACAAGTGGGCAGTGGCCCCGACGTGCCACGCCCACGCGCCCCCTTGCGTTAATTTGTTGTGTAATCTGCGCATTTATTATTTTCAGTTCCCCCACAGTTAATGCTACATCGCAGTAATGGGAATATTCAAATAAACAGAATATGAAAACGAAATGAAAAATACAAAATACCAATAATGGCACATTCTTGCGTTTGACTTGATTTTAATTATCACCTAACGAGATTGCTTGAGACCATATCTGACCATATTTAACAATATTTTGAGCAGACAGAAATCTGCTAGAAACACTAGGAGACAAATGAAAAACGCAGTTGAGACTAAGTCAGCTCAATCAGCTTAATCTATAAGAGGGATGATTTATCCAATTCCGAGTCTAGTACTGCAACTTGATCATGGGCCTTTCCTTATTGGCCAACTTGCCAGCAAGGATCGCGTGTAGCTGATCGGTGAGTAGAGGACACTGCATGACCTTTAGGCGCGAAAGGTTGGGAAGTGCCAGGACCAGCTCGACAACAGTCTCATCGGTGATGAACGGGGAATTGGTCAGGTCCAGCGCCTCCAGGAAAACAAGTTTCTTCAATTTCATTAGCACATGTGGCTGGTACGGCTGATTTGGTATATAGAGAACACGCAGTTGACAGAACATCGATATAATGGCCAGGCCATGGGCGCTAATAAAGCCATTCACGGCATTCGAAAACTTCAGACACTCCAGGGACTTCACATCCATGAGGGCCATCAGGGTCCAACCGCTGACCACGATGGGCACGTCGATCGAGGAGTGGGGTTCCAGGTGCAGGGTTTGCAGACTGCGCAGCTCACCCAGATGGTACTCATCGCATTGCGGAAAGGCCACCGACAGCTCGAGCCCCTCCAGCCCAGGACAAGAGCGCACCAGGTCACGATAGATATGGCAGTGGCTGCCAACCTTCAGGTCCAGGGCACGCAGCTCGCGAAGTCTTGGCAGCTGGCTCAAGTTGGCGAGTTGGCTTGGGCACAGCAGCTTGCAGCCGGAGAGATTTAGCGCCTCCAAAGAAGCTGGAAGAAACTGGAGGAAGGACCCGGTCAGGTTCTTGTTGTAGCGCAGATCCAGGGACTTGAGGTGCGGCAAAAAGTTCCAGTGCAAGAGGCCCTCATCCTTGAGATGGCAATCGATCAATTTAACACTGGTCAGCATGCTAAAGCAATAGCTGGGCACGTAGTCGATCCAGTGGTACTGCAATATCGAGAATCCCGTGAAGGCAATCTCAGTCACCTTCGTGGGTCTGATCGACATAAGGCGTATGAATTCCGCGAAATGTGGATACTCTTGGGTCTGTGGACCACCGCACAAGTACTGAATATCAGATCCCGAGAGGTGCACAAACAGCTTGGTCTCGATCTCTGTGAAATCAGCCAAGTCTTCCACGTTAATTGTCCGGCACAGCCGTTTGGAGCACCTGCGATAGACGTCCTCTAGCATATCGCAAGTGGATGCCAGGCTGATGAGAGTCTTCAGATCCAGCCACTGGGCCACCTTAAGCCAAAAATCGTCAAATTGGCAAATATCGCTGACAAGGAAATGGGAAATGTGCATGTGAAGTGCCTGGGAATAGCAGCCCAATACTGCGTTTTCTTTACCTGATCGAAAGATAGATCATTGTTCTGGATTCTTGGATTCTTGATTAATTTTTCGCTCAATAAAAGTTCAGGTTAAGGAACTGAACGATGACTGGTCAGAAATGCCAGAGTTGTCGCCCTTTTCAACTCCTTAATATAACGAATCTGTATTTTGGTATATATTTTTTTGCACAACTCACGTGCGTACATATTTTCTGCCCTGGAGACAAAAACTGGCAACAAAATATTTTCTTGCGGCTGACATCGATGCAGGAGACCGACGGCAATTAAAAAAAACAAAAAAACAGCGCAAATTGCGTCTAAGTGCTGCAATTATGCATTCGCTTGCGTATAAGCAATTACGATAGAGCTAGATGCTGGAAAGTCCATGCTGTCTTATCGCTATTATACTCGATTGGTAATTATGTCCAGAGCTGGTCAGAAACTGAAATTTTTTAAATCCATGTTTAAATCCATGTTTTGCGAAAGCCACAAAGCAAAAACATTTTTGATAGTGTATATTAGGGTCGCATTAATATATGCAGGAAAACGTAAGTGCGCCGCGACTGTCAGCTTATGTATACAAATAAATAATAATAAATGCATAAGTGATTGCCACATGCAGTTGGGTTCGCCGACAGGCCCGTTGGTTCCCAGCCAAACTTATTCGATAATCATCGCTGGGTTAGTGACTTAGTGACCCGATTTTTGCCGCCCAAAACTGCATTCGACTTGCAACACGCCCCACGCCCCACGCCCCACGCCCCACGCCCACTCCCCTCTCTCCACTCCCACGGCCTTTTAATTAAATTAGTTTATTTTATTGATATTTGCGCACACACCCACATGCATGGAAGTACTTTTTTGGGGCACAGACGCTCAGCAGCCGCAAAAATGCGCAAACCGCCATTTTCGTGGCGTATTTATAGGCTGGAATCTGGAATCTGCATATATCAGTAGGATGCGATATTATATAAAGGTCTAGGGCGTTTCGATTACTTCACTCTTTTAAGCCATGTCTAGATAAACATTTTTAATCGCAAGCATCTAGGCGCCCGGTGAAACTTTATCGACTTGCACACGAAGTAGTAAGCCGATGTGCAGGGCCAAAGAAAATTCGGAGAAATTCCGATAAATTCGGAGAAATTTGGGGAAATTTGGAGACATTCCGAGAAATTCGGAGAAATTCCGAGAAATTTTGGGAAATTTTGAAAAATTCCGAGAAATTCGGAGAAACTCCGAGAAATTCGGGGAAATTCGGAGAAATTCGGGAAAACTCTGAGAAATTCGGGAAAATACCGATTGTTATGCATACCTTGCTGCCTGCCTGGGCGATATTCCACTTTTATCCAGCCTACTGAGCATCCTGCAGTCGCTAGGTTTTCCAATTGAGTTTTCTCCATTTTTCGCAATAGGCCGACTGTTTGTTTTCTTCCACTTTTTTTTCGCCTCGCCAACCACCTAATTGAGTTGTTTTATTAGTTTGGCCTGGACCAGGAAGCCCACCATATGCAGTTGGCCCGGGCAACCACTGCCCTTGAGTTGGGAGGTGGCATCTTCGTCTGCCATCCGATGATGCCGGCTGATGGACACTGATATACTCAAGGCGGCTGCTGGCCAATTGTGCTGAGTTATGACTCTCGACCGGCAGGTCGCAGTCCCTACAACCTAATTCGCATATTCTTGTTGTATAATTTATGAATCCATTTGCATTCCGCTGCAGAACTACGCTCGAATGGCTTAAAGAAGGCGTTGAAACCTAGATGGAGCATCTTTAACCCAACAAAGTTGCAGTTGCAGCGAAGTAGACTCAAATTACAGTTCGCTCGATCTCAAATATTCTAAAAATTGAGTTATTAATTATTCAAAAAATACGAGATATTCCACTCTTATGAACTGTTTGAAATGCATACAAAATTTGATTGGGCCAGAAATGGTTTTAATTGAAAGTGCAAACACATGTGGAATAAACACAAACAAACTCAAAGAACAAAATGCATGGAATTCCGTGAGTATGTCCGTATCAGCCTCTGCTCGTGTGTGTCTTTTAATTATCAATTGATTGGAAAAATTCCTGAAAAACTCATCTCCATCCGGCTGTTAAAGAGCGGCCTTTTCATTGGTATTTCCACGGCGTGGGTCGACTGCTTGTTGCTTTTCCCCAGCCTCAACCCCAAAGAACACATGTGTGTATCTGTATCTGTCTCTGCATCTGTATCTGTAGCTGTACCTGTATCTGATGGTATATGTGCGCATATCCAGCTGTATATCACTCGAGGCCATCCGTTTTTGGGTGCTGAGAGGTGCAGGTGGGCCACTGTTGTTATTCCCGTGTATTGTTTTTCTATCCCACCTTCACAGCAGCGTGTAGTATCAGCCAAAGCCAGCGAGTTTGATTTCTGTGTTAATTACGACGTCGTCTCATTAAAGCCAAAACTCCACTGCAGCAGGGCGGCACAAAAAGCAATTAAGCTGCAGCGACCGTTGGCAATTTTGGCCAAATTCAACTGGCCACATTCGAGGGGAGCCGTCCCCTGCACATTGCACATTGCACATGGGCATGGGCATGGTCAACTGGTTCGGGCCTTGTTTCGGGCAATTAAGCACTTCTGGCCCACAAATCCGTAAACAAGCGTTGCCAGGCGGCGACCTGACCTCCAGTCGGTCCGATCCCCTTCTTTTTCCACAAGCCCGCCCAGTATTTGAGTTCTCACCGCTTTTATGATTCCAAGAAATTAGGTAGTTACAAGAATATAAAGCGCGGACAATCAATATTCCGTTTTGGCACGCATTAATGCCTTTGCGCTTTTTGTAATCCCAATACTTTGAATGTCGACTGCTGGTTTACATGCGATAACCATTTAATTTGCATCGCATATAAATCACTGCTATAAATTAGAGTGTAAAATGCGTTTGCTCACAGAATAGCTGACCACAACAAAATATTATATTCTACATTAAATTCAATTATTTGTGGCATTATTTAAACATTTCTAAACACCCAAAACTCATAGGTACTGAATACAGGATGTAACTGATACAACACAGTATTGGCTTATTAACGTTGCAATTGCTGGAAACTATGTATATATGCACCTCCTAAGTCAGTTCAAATGCAACACATTATACACATAATACATTAAGCCCCTGATCTTTTAGGGGCATTTCCGATTCACTTAATTTCGCCCGGTTGCCCCGCGAGTGGAAAAGGCCTAAAGAAGAAAAACTAACTGGCCAGCAGCAGCAAACTTGGCAACTCGGACTTTGGCAAGATGGCCAGTGCTTGGCTCAGCTATAAAGTGGTTGCTGGGGGAGCTGGAGGAGATGGTGGAGATGGTGGCGATGGTGGAGCTGCTGCTGCAGTGCGTCCCTTCCAGGCCACTTCACTTTATTTACCGTCACGCTCACTGCGCTGCGGCTGCGACGGCGGCGGCGGCAGCATTAAGTGCGAAAACAAAGCCAACGGCATCGAACCGCTCCCGGCACCTCCTTATTTTTATGGCCGGTTTATTGAAAGGCCGCCAGGCCGCCGGGCAACGTGCAGCGTGCAACGTGCAACGTGCCATGTGCAAACTACACGGCGAGAAAATGGGTGGAGAACCCCCATAACCAACTTCTTAGTTAACAACCTAAAGCAGGTGGTTTTCACTTGCCACAAATGATCTATAGTACATATACAGCTTATTTTCTTAACACGAAATCTTGAACTTAATGTTTTGAATGTATTTAATTTTATTAAGGAAAAAATGTCATTGTAGACAAGGTTAAAAGGTTCACTTTGAATTATGTAGACGATTTATGTTATGCATTTGAATAACTACAAGATATTTTCTAATGCTAGGCGTATTATTTTTGTTGAATTTAAAATACGTACTGAGAGAACCAGCTTAAATTCAATAAATCAATCGAATATGGAATATTATTACTGTGCTCAGTTAAAGGCCTCGGTAAATGTATATATTTTCTTACTGTGCACTCGCTGATAAAGAGCGTTGCGTAACCCGCCGATGAGAGTAATGATGACGATGGTCAGTGGCCATTGGCCAAGTCGGGAATGCCACTTCCCACTTGACCAACTGAAGCAGCCGGAGCAGCGGAAGTGCACGGCTTCAAATACGAGGAAATGGCAATGGAGGTGGATGGAGGAGGTCGGTGGCAGTGGTGGTGGTGGTGGTGGCTCCAGCAGGTGTAGTAATCCGTAAAGCACTAAAGGCATTGGAAGCGCACAAATTTATTGGCGCAACTTGAGCGGAAAGGTGAGAACCAGGCGAGAACCAGGCGAGAAAAGAAAAACATATAGAAAAACGGATAAATCTGTGCGAAATTTTAGACGATCAGAAAAGTTTATTGCAGCTAAGATTGCGTAAGGAGCAGGCTCCAGAAGTTCAATCCCAGGCAACTAAGTCGCCGGCGAGGAATCGTCCATTAACATATAACAATTTATTTGAAAAGGGTAATTAAATAAATGCCATATGCAGAAAAGTCTGCCCGTAATAGCTCTTAAGCGGTCCATTAAAAAGCAATACCATATAAGCTTATTAGCATGTGACAAATTCGATCAAAGAGACTCTTAAATGAAATTTAAATGGTTCACGTACATATAATATCATTTATGTAGTTTGCAGATGCTGGTGATTCAATTACACAGATGGCATGCAAACTGGATGAAGAAGTGAGCAAGCATGTTGAATGATAAGTAAATTCTTCAATTGAAGGTGATAATGTTAAAATAAGAAACACATAAATTCTATAATCAAGCTAAGAAAAAAGTAGAGTTTGCTTAATTTCTTATTTTCAGACTAGGCAGCACACTCGAAAAATAAAAATACGTTACTATTTTGGCAAAATCATACCGTAATACTGAGTAAAGTTCGCAAGTTAATCAGGCTGTAGGCCCCAAGTGTGTGTCACACTTATCTCTTTATATAGGGAGACAATTACGAGTAAATATTTCGAATTACCCGAACTGCGCGCCAA